CTGTGCTGACAGCTCAGAGCCTGGAGCCTGCTTTGATTCTGTGTTTCCCTCTCTCTCTCGGCCCCTCCCCTGCTCACACTGCCTTTCTCTCTCTCAAAAATGAATAAATGTCAAAAAATTTTTTTAAAAAAGATAAAACCTTTTTCCAAACCTCCTCTCCAATTCCACCTCCCAGAGATAACCAATGTTAAGAGTCTGGTGTATACCCTCCCACTCCTTTCTCCAAGATCATAGAAACATACAGACACACACACAGATTTTATTTTACAAAAATGTGATCATAGAAAAAATTACATCAAGTTTACAATGTACTTTGTCATTTGCCCTTGCAGTAGGCCCATTGATAGAAACTAAGATTCATTTACAGCAGAAAGTCATATAGTAAGTGGCAAAGGACTTCAGGACTAAACCTGAAGTCTGTCTGATTTATACAGAAGGCTTCGGAAAGTCAGTGGAGATTTAAAGTGAGATGGTCATATCCCTCTAATGCCAGGAAGCAGGAGACAGACCAGATATCAGAGGGCTGCAGTCCAGGGAAGAAATAGGGTAGCGGTAGCTGACCTAGGATTGTGGGGGCAGCTGACCTAGGATGGTGGGGGCAGCAAAGGTGGACAGATTCAAGACATGGTTTGGGGGTGAAACAGCCAAGATTTATGACCATTTAGGGTCACTACAATATTCAGTGCTGGGCCAATGGGCAATGAAGCTGTTCCCTAGCTCCACATTCTTCCTCCAAGGCATTCAGAAGGCCACTGGGGGATTGGGGCTGCCTCTTGTTCTAGAAAATTCCATCTCTAGGAGGGACGGGCCCCCTGGTGTGGGACAAAGCATTATGGTGGGGTGGGCATAACTTCTTGTATTTGATTACAAGTCCTTTACGTTCTTGATTCTAAGTCTTTTCTGACCACTCCTGCTATTTCCGGCTTTCAAGGACTTTCAACAATATAGCAGGTCCTCTTATGTCCTGGAGTTGGGACAAAACCTTCCTCTCACATTCCCTCCCACCCCCACTATCACTGGAAGTTGGAACAGTCCCAGAGTAAAAGATTCCAGAATTGGCCCCAAGACTTCCTTTTTCTCAAGCCCTTGGAGGGAAAAGTACCCTCTTGCTTGGGCTTATTAGGTAGGTATGGTTAGGTATGGTCAGCCTGCACCCCATCTGGCCCCGGCTGGAGGTGTACTAGGGTGGGGCAAACCAGTCAGTGGACCTTTCAGAGGGTCTGAGGGAGGAGGGGCAGGGCAAACAGATGGTTGGAAACGCGGGGTGGGGAAGGGGACGAGAGGGCAGGACTG